CGAATGCAATGTGTCGTTGAGGCTTTTCCCGTTGGAAGACGGGCTGGAGGCGTTGAAGACCACGCGCAGTTTGGTTGTGGTGCTGTCGGGTTTAAACACGCCGTGATGTGGAAGGTAGTAATGGCCGGAGTCATGACTGGGTGTAACCGCTGTCATGTGGCCTAGCTCTAAATATTCCTCGATAACGGCGTCGTACTGCCCTTTGAGCGGCAAATTCCGCTGCAGACGCTGCTCGTTTCTAAGGAACTGGGCCTGTGCCGCGCATCTGGAATGTCCTAGCTCGACATTTTCTGGACATTTGAAAGGGAGAGTAACAATGTATCTCCGGAAGTTTTCCTCGCACATAGAATCTGACTCACTCGTCGGTCTCCCCGGAAGGTCCTCCAACTCCCAGAATTTTGTGGGAAGCTTCTCGAGTCGGACATCCGAATCTAACGAGAGCTTCGTGGTGAAGGCGGAAACCGTCCGAGTCGAGTCAGCTGATACCGGACCGGATAGGACCCATCCGAAGATGGTCTCTTGTCCCAGCAGCGAGCCGCAAATGTCAGACCGGAAGCCGCTCAACAGGATAGAAGGAAGGATGTCAGCGCCTAAAAACACATCAATCTGCGAGCTTCGGGGGAAGGAGGGGTCTGCCAGCGGGAGGTTCGGAAGCTCGTCCAAGAAGTGCTGCGGTATCGGATATGAGGGTAGGTTACCTGCTAGTTGAGGCAGAACATATGCCATAGTCTCGATCTTGAGGCCAGGCCTGGAGGCGGCCCCGATCATGAAGTGACAGCGCCTTTGCGCCTTAGCCGCTACGGTTTGGTTTAATCCTGCGACTTGAGCCTGTATGGCTTCGAACGGTGGCTTAATAAGGTTAAAGAGACGTTCAGTGATGAACGTCGCCTCGGAGCCTGAGTCAATCAGTGCGCGAGCACGGAAATTGGTCCCCAGGTGGCAAATATTAATCAGTGCCGTGCCCAGAAGAACGGTACTTGTGCTGGAGGCGAAATAGCTCTGTACGTTATGCTGAGATTCGGATGAGCTGGGAGTTTGGCGGATGTCGAAGCCGTCACGCCGGATGAAGGAGCGGCACGATGCAGAAGCGTGTGATGCCTGACCCCACAAGTAGAACAATTGTGGCTGCTGGAGCAGTCGCGAAGCAGATGACCTCTTGCGAAGCAATTTAGGCACAGCTGCTTTTTCTTAATGCAGCTTGGAAGCGCAGATGGAGACAAGCAGACTATCCCAGTTGTCCGTGCAGACGTTGGAGACCGCTAGCGCATTTAGGACTCATTGCATCGTACTTTGAAGATCCTTCAAGGCACGACTGCATTTGGATGTTACGCGGGGCAAAAAGAGGAGGATGTTAATTTGGTTGGTCACCAGAAGCCGATTATTTTCATATCGGCCGCGGAGAGCCAACAATGCGTACTCGAAACCGTCATTAGTGAGGGGGTATTTCTCTGCGATGGCCTTCGGATCGCCCCGGGTCTTCTCGGTGAGGTAGTACTGCCTCTCTACCGGAGACAATCTAGGATTGTTGATCACGACCGCAGTGAACAGATCCCGGAATGTGGGCCAGCGGACGTAGTCCCCTGAGAATGCCTCAATGTTGACAGGAGGCAGTCGACAGCCGCCCTGTTGGACTGGCTGTGAAGGAGGAAGAACTGTGGATTTGGCCAGTTGGGCATTGAGGTCACTGAGGCACTGCTCAAATACCCTATAGCATTCGCCGTATATGTCACGGATGTCCGCTTGGATTTCTGGCTCCTCGTCAGTCATCACCGCGGAGCAGGCCTTGTACGTGGCCTCGACGTCCGTCCACATGCTGAGGATTTGGCCTCGACGGACCTCGGACAGAGAGGCGGATGGGGCGGCGGTGATGCGCTCTTCCAGGTGCGACAGTCAGCCAATAGCGGCGACCAATTTGGTCCGAGCGACTGAGGTGGCGGATTGAGCCATTGTGATGCAGTGGCGAGAGCTGACGGGGCTGCTGACGAAGGAGCCTTTCGGATCTTGTTTGGTCACAGCTGGAACCATAAGAGTGACAAGAGTCGGAAATAGAACCGATTTGGTCCTTGCCGCAGAGCTGCTACTGGCTGCTCTCGGAGTGAGGGGTGCCTTGATTTTCTGAGTCGGCGTAGTTCCGAAGGCGGACGAGGTGCGTAGCCGGTTGGAAGAGGTCACAGGCAAAAGCTGGTTGCCGGAGTATTTGGTCGTCAAAGAGTTTAAGGCCAAGAAAAAGAATAGGCCCCCCATAACTCTTCCTAGTAGGCAGCCCAGTGCTCCATCTTTACCCTCATCTTCCACCTCAACTTCTATCCATTCAAAAACCTAACTTCCTCTCTTTTAGTTACATACGAGAATGCTAGAGGCTTGCGTAGTGGGCTCAGCACTCTTTTTCTTGAGAGTCTCGCATTCTCGTCCCATGATATTGTGTCTACCGAAACCTGGTTAAAGCCGGACATCCTTAGTTCCGAAGTTTTGGCAGGTCGGTACACAATTTTTAGAAATGACCGTTCGTCTCGACGTGGAGTCCTCATTGCAGTATACTCAAACTTTACATCGGAAAACCTCATGGTCCAGGTTCAACAAGACCTGGAATTCCTGTGCGTAAAACTGATTCTCCCAGGATTTTCCATTTTCATTACTTGCTCGTATATTCCACCTTCCTCGGATATCTTAATATACGAACATCACCTGTCCGCTTTACAAACTGTTTCTTCCTCGCTATCAGATAAAGACCATATGATAGTATTTGTATTTATTTTTGATTTTTCCTAGTGCTACAAGTAAAACTTGTTTTTAATGCACTAGTCAGCACTAGGTACTGTGTGGTCTTCGGTAAACGAGTCTAATGGGCACAAGGTCGCATGTCACGACATGACTTTATCGACGGCTTGCTAGACCTATCCCTGTCTCAAGTCAACCATGTGAAAAATTCCATGGGTCGATTGCTTGATCTGTACTTTGTCACGGATCCGACCGGATAGCGTTGCTAACCCGAGCCTTTCCGCTCACTATACCTGAAGACTCCTACCATCCTACATTCGAAGTGTTGGTCGATATTGGGCCTACTGTATTGGATCGAATGGGTAGGCTATCTGAACGTGTCCGCTGCTTTCGTAAGGCCGAGTTTACGAAGCCTAATAACCTCATTAGTGATTTTGATTGGTCCGCTCTGTACTTGTGCACTGACGTTATGAAAGGCACAAACATTTTTTTAAAATGTACTTGACACATTTTTTGATTCTTGTGTCCCTTTTTCTTGTCCGGCTAGATCTGAAAAGCCTCCTTGTTTTACCAAAGAGTTATCCAGTATAAAAAACTTAAAATCAAGACTTTATAAAAAATTTCGAGATGTTGGTTCTCCCTCTTCTCTTTCTCACTATGTAATAGCTCGGTCAAATTTCTCCGTTCTTAACGCTCAATGGTATAAAAACTACCTATCTCGATGCAGGATACGATTTTCACAGGACCCTAAACACTTCTACAGCTTCGTAAATAGTAAGCGTAGAACGTCCGCACATCCATCCTCGCTATCATTTCTCAATATGTCAGCAAACAATGATCAGGCAATTGCCGATCTTTTTGCCAAATTTTTCCAAACAACCTATTCTCATGAAAGCTACTCTGGTGAGCCGTATCCATACAGTTTACCAAGGTCGAATGGCATTCAGCCCCATTGTTAAATGAAAGCTCACTGCTTCATGATCTTCGACTAGTTAAGCCGGTGTTTTCACCAGGTCCCGACGGAGTTCCCGGCTGTGTACTTAGGTACTGTGCTGACGCTCTGTGTGGACCCTTGCTTAAACTATTCACCCTATCCATTAACTCTTCATGCTTCCCCCCCCCCATCTGGAAGGAATCCATTATTATTCCGCTCCATAAGAAAGGTAGCAAGTCTGATGCAAATAATTATAGAGGTATATCTAAGTTATCCGCTATTCCTAAAATGTTTGAAAAAATTTTAACTCCGCACTTGCAACATCCCTGCAAATCACTTATATCTCCGTCCCAGCACGGATTTATAAGGCGACAACAAATTTTTTAGGGTTCACCTCTTTTATCATTAAAGGCTTTCAAGGTAACTTGCAGACGGATGTCATTTAAACTGATTTTAGTAAAGCATTCGATTCTGTAAACCATTGTCTTTTAGCACAAAAACTTGACCTTTTGGGGTTTCCGCCTAATCTTTTGAGATGGATTTCTAGCTACCTTCGTTCTAGGTCTCAAAGAGTCCTCTTCAAAAACTCCTTCTCTTCACGTGTTAAGGTTACTTCTGGAGTACCACAGGGCAGCCATGTAGGCCCCTTACTATTCACACTCTTTATTAATGACCTGCCTTTAGTATTAACAAAGTCTCGAGTACTCATGTATGCGGATGATGTTAAACTCTGTGTCCAGTAAAAGGACATTTCATTTCACTCTCGCTTGCAATCCGATCTTACGACTGCTTTATTTTCACGCATAGCTTTGTCGGCTATGCTGCGGGCCTGTAAAAACATGCTGCTAAGATTAAGATACAATGGCGGTACTTCTTAGGATACAATGTCTTCATAACTTCAACTATCCATTAACTATGTATATTACATTTCATTATTTTTGGCTACCTTATATTTTGTAGCGACACTGCCCAGTGTGCCAACTGTCAGAATGACATTTAATTTTGTCTTAATACCCTTAACATATAATTCATTTCTTGACATCTCTTTTTCACAAGAAAGTAAGTTTTGTATGTCTTTAAAAATACAGTTTATTTTTTTTCTTTTCGCATTTGCGGGCAAAACATTGAAGCTGGTATTTTCCAAAAAACCGGGATAAATTATTTTCTACACAAAAAGATTCCACTTTTTAGAATAATAACAAATGTTTAAGGAAAGACTGAATAGATGCCCTAAATTATAGAAATAAATTTTTGGGGCGCACCTCATATGTTGAGCTATTAGGCGTTTTTAATATCTATTGATTTGTAATTTAATAAACGGGAAGTGAAGATGTAATAAAAATAATAGTTTACTGGCATGTAGTAGCGGCAGTACGCGTATGTATATTAATTGGTACAAGTATAGAAACCGAAGGTAACGAAGATCAATACCAGACTAAATACAGGGCAGACGGACCGAATTGCCCGTGCCCTATGCAAAGCATCTTAGAAGAGAGCGAGAGAAGGCGATAAAAAGAGAGCATAAGTGCAGCTTGTGCTGATGATAAGTTGAGAACGAACGTTAGCTAGAGCGCGAGAAAAGTGCAGGAACGAAGAAGACGGGATAGATATACGAAAGAACGGCCGCTGCCGTGCGCAAGCATATGCGGAGACAATGGTTATTTACAGAGGGCTGTGCAAATAATAAACAATGAAGAAGACTTACGTTGGGCTGCTTCACTAATTATTATCTAAAGATTTTACGACTAAATACCGGGTTGGGAAACCCGACATCATAAATTAGGTAACTAAAAATTATGAAATATTCCCATATTTATGAAACTTAAAATAAATAAAAACAAATACAATTGTTATTTTTTTTTAATCTTTATCTTTGCAAATCCGGGACGTCATTTCGTGCAATGGTTCCAATTCCTTGCTTGTAATCATATCGAATTCTTTTACAAAATAATAAAAATGTTTATAACAAGCATTAACGTGCGCCTCCTGTAAATAAAAGAAATGTATAAGAATGTTATTAACCGAGTTAATAAGATATCTGTTACCTAGTAGAAGACATTTCGTTGTACTAAGCTTTTAAAATTAATTTTGTTATAGGGAGTAGGAAGGAAGAAGAGGGGGCTACTTTAAGACCACAAGGAAAAGATTACTGGGATAAGATTGTGGTGTGCCCTCTTCGTGTACATGCAGGGTATGAAAAATCAAGTGGGCGTTTAAAACCTGATAAGTCTTACTGCCGCGACAAAATCAACCACCCAGAAAAGTTTTTGCGCGCTCTACATTTCTAAAACTTATGAGAAGAAAAGCATGATCCGAAACAAGCAAGGAAGTTCGCTCGCTTGGTGAAGAATATACACCCGTTAAGTTCGACGACAGGAAACTTACCGACCCATAAATATATCTCTTTCAAAAAGGCTTGTTGATAGGCCGCTAGAAAGCCCCTCGCACACGAAACACACCCATCATCTACAAATGTTTCTCTAGTGCGCAGATTATTAATACTAATCGACCAAATTGAACTTTTTATTTACGCTTTGAACCAAACCTACTTTTTTTGATAGACTTAGGACTTTTTATACCCGTACTCAAAAAAGAGTTGAGGGGTATATTAGATTTGTGGTAAAAATGGATGTATGTAACGCAGAGAAGGAATTTTTTCCGACTCCATAAAGTATTTATATTCTTGATCAGCATCAAATTTGGTTTCCAGACTTGTATTTCAAAATTTCGCCCCGCCGCCTTCCGCCCTCACAAAGGACGAAAATCTGTGGAAGGCACAATTTTAAAGATACGATAAAACTAAAAACGCAGTATCGTAGAGAATGCCCATATCTACCAGATCGAATCATAATTATAGCCATAATAAAGAAATTTATTTTCAGTTGCTTCCCCTGCCCCATCCTGCAAGAGAAACGCTACTCATTATCTTTCTCGCTCGCACACTCTGCCGCGTTCAGTGCGCGAGCAACCCCTAGCGGAGGAGATGTAGAATCTAAATGTAACATGTACAATCTACATGTTAGATGTAGTATATACATTGTATATGTAGATATCAGATGTAGCAAAAAAATGTAAAATGTAAAATTTTTTTTTTTATTCTAAAAAATTATATGCTCAAAAATTTTTATACTGACTGAGTACGGGTATAAGTAGAGTCGCGTCCCCAGAAGCGACTCACACGTTCCTTCTCGTTTTTTATGGACACTTCATCACATGCCAAAATACACTCCTTTTCAGACTGGCTCATCTTTAAAGATGCATCTTTAAGAGCTTTGAAGTTGAAGGGTTGAAGGTTGATGTTTTTTTATGGAGCTCCATTTTTGTAGAGAAGAAGGACTGGCAAGATTAAGTTTTAATGTATTTCTTAAAAATACAAATTTCGATGTTGACAAATAAAAAATGCATTGAGCAAATAATTTTTCAGTAGTGCTCATTCTTACATTTTTTCCATTTTTTGTTTCCTTTAAAAGCATTCTGACTAAAATTAGTTCATTAGCAGTTAAGCTCATTGAATCAATTTCAGAAATAAGGTACCTACTTGCTTTTGTTTGAAGGCGTTCTACTTGTCCTTTTAGTTTTGCGTTTTCTTTTTGTAGAAAGACGATTCTTCTCTTTCTAGATTTTAAAATGTTTTATTTAAGAAACCTTATTTTGAAAATGTTTTATGTTTTTAAGGCATTGGCGGCAAGCTTCTGCTGGGGACTCAGATCGAACTCTTTTTCTTTGAGGGGATTGAAGAAGGTTTAGGTTTAAGTCATTGTCATGTTCTTCGGGTTTTTCAACCGCTTCGGATGAATTAAGCAAATTTAGATCTGGAATTGCCCCTTTTTTCAAAAATCTTTTTCTAATATTTTCTGGAGAAAAATGGTTATTACATAAATAGAGCGAGCCATAATTAGACACAAAGTCTTAATCAAAGTTGCATTGATTTTCCCATTGTATTAAAAGAAATGGATCATTGGCTGGAAACTTGAACAACCTTAATCCCGGGAAGTCTTTTTTGGATTTTTTGCAATGTGCAAGATAGCAATCTATTGCCATTTAATAGGCGTCTTGGATTTTCTGGATTTTCTCATTGTCAATCAAGAAAAAAAATCGCAGTCTAATTAGCTTTGGAAAATATGTGTTGCGCTTCTCGGCAGTCAATGACGCTAAAAATCATTTCAACAATGCCTTCCAAATCTTCTTTATTGAATATCTTTTAAACGGAGTAGGGCAGGGCTGCATCAAGCCTCAACGGGGGCCTAGGCAACCATCAATTTGGGGGCGCCTCCTTTTTTCCCCGCCCCTCCTTTTTTCATTTGAAATAACTGGGTCAGCCAGGCGCGGGGGCCCGGGGGGGCCGGCCCCTTTAAGCAACGCTCCCAAAAAAAAAAAAAACACAAAAAAAAATTCCGGGCCCCCCCCCTTTTGGGGAAATTTCGCAACCACCCAGCCCCGAATCACAGATATCACCTCCGCGATGCAGAGTTAGCAAAACCATTTTTTGAAACCAAACCCAATCAGCACTCGGGAGAGCAAACACACGACCCACACCAGTGGCACCAAGTCGACCTCCACAATTTACCCAATAACCTGCAGCAAAGGGAGGGGAGCCAGCGCATAGGGCCAAGAGGCTGAAGGGGGAGCCAACCCAACAAGAGCAGCCACACACCCACAGAATACTGACAGAAAGAAATGGGGAAACAAAAAAAACAGGAGAAGACGAAGTATCGGGAGACCAGGAGGAAAGCGGGGGGAAGGAAAAGAGGCGACAGGGGACAGAAAAGAGGACCGAAAGGGAGGACACCCAACCGACCGCAGGAAGGACAGGCACACCAACCGGACACGAACCACGGGGCCGAACCCCACGCGGAACACGACCAGCCGACACCCACCGACGCCACACCGACCCACGCGGTTCCCCCCCCCAACAACCCCGCCCCGAGAGCCATGTCCGAGATTTCGTCGCCACGCAGCGTCGCGCGACACAAGAGGCACACCGAACCGCCGCACGACCAGCTGGCTGTAGATAACACGGTACCCGGCGTACCAAAACATATCCCATGGGACCCACACCCACGCGCCCCAGGACCCACGGGGGACCGCACCGAAACCCCGACCAACCGAAAGGCCACCGAAATGCGAACCGGGACGGGCGAGGGATAGAGACCCACCACCAGACCGAAAAACCGGAGCACCGAGCGACCCAGAACGACGGACGCACCGAAGACCGCCAAGGCGGCAGACGACCGGAAACCGGAAAAAAATAGGACACCGCCACAACCGAAGAAAAAAGAGCACGATAACGCAGACGCCCGAGGGCGACCAAGGGCCGGAGGTAACGAAGGCCGCCGACGCACTAACCCACCCACCCGGAAGAAGGGGGGGAACCAGGTTACCGGCGACAAACGGCGGGGGACACACCACTGGGGGACTAATCTAGGCGCCAGCTGTCCCCACAAACAAAAGCAACGCACGCAATTCTAATTAGCCCGAGCGGCCAGAGAGGCACCCACTCGGGATTCGCACCACGCCCGCCGATATCACCCCGCGAGCGGTTGCAACCATTCTTTGACCATACCCAATCCCAACTGCACTCCGGGAGCAGCATCCAACACACTGACCCACAACCATGTCAACGAGCACCAAGCTCGACCTAGCTACGCCCACAATTATTGTTACCCAATAACCTTACGCAGCAGAATCAATTTTGGGTAGGTGGACGCCAGCTGATAGGGCCAAGACGGCTGAGGGAGGAGTCCATCAGCCCGAACACAGATACACGCAGTCCACCAGCGCACCCACAGCAATCACTGACAACGCCAAGTAACATAGTGATGGATAAAGTAAACAACACAAAAGCAAAACCGACTGACACATCTTGCCGTCAGGCCAGCTCGAAACCTGAAGTTCACCTGCGATCTACAAATTGTCTTGTAGTGGACCCTGGGGACTGAAGCCACCCAGCCTGGAATAGGCCCACAGGGGCGGGTGGTGCTGGGCAACACGACCCGGCGCGCGGGCCCAGGGGCAAGGCGCACGGGACGCGGAAGGGGGCGGACCAACCGACCGCCGGAAAGGACGGCACCACCAGCACCCAGCACGGGCGCCACGCAACCCCACGCGGGGGGCCGAACGCCACAGGCCCCCACGGGCCGGAACCGCACGAGCCCCACGAGCGACAGCCGCCGCCCCACGGCCGCGCCACACCGACCGCCAACGGGCGGAGGCCGGCGGGGGCCGGGCGGCCGCGGCGCGCGACACAGGGCACCGCCGGTCCGCGCGGGGCCGGCACCGGGCCCGGGACACCACACCCAGTCGCCCCAGCGACTACCAGGGGGACCGCCCGACCCGCAGCCGCCGAGGCCGCCAACCGAGGACCGCGGGCGGGGGGGGCTCTGGCCCCGGCCCGAAACGCCGGCGGCGACCCCCGGGCGGCCACCGAGCCCGCCGGGCGGGCGACGGACCGCGAACCGATGGGAAGACCCCCGCGCCCACACGCCCCGGAGCGGGTCGCCCGCGCCCGCAAGGCGGCACCGCGCCCGCGCCGGCGGTAACCGGTAAAAGGGACCCACCCGCAGCGCGCCACCCCCACACCCACCCGGGAGGGGGGGGAACGGTGCCGGCCGCACACGGCGGGGGCGCACACCACGCTGGGGACAAATAACTGCCGGCTGGAACCTGGCCGCCCGGTCCCCAGCGGGGCGCGGAAAGCTAAGCAACGCCGATTCTAATTGCCCGACGCGAAGCCAGCCGAACCGGCACCCACTCGGGCCACCGCCCCGCACGATCACCCCGCGGGTTCCTCATCTTTTACCAAATACCCAATCAACTGCCCCGGGGACGCAACACACTGACCCCTCCGCAACGGCACCAGCTCGACCTGCCCGCGCCCACATTGTACCCACCTACGCAGCGACGGGCAGGGCGACGCCAGCGTGGGCCAGGGCGGGGGGGCCATAGCCCGACACGCAGCCACCAGCGCACCCCGACACGCACCCGCA